AACTAAATGCAACATTATTTTAAATTTGTAGTTTAAGGGAACAACACAGAGATTTTAAATATATACTGAAAATGTTTTTCAGGGAAATTTGGTGGATTTGCCATATTAATGTATATTTGTAAAAGAAATGACAAAGCTGAGGTGTAGCTGATGAATTAGTTGTTTCAAGGTCATAACTATAGAGTGGTATTTATGATTGTTTGGTTAACATCCAAATAAAAATCTGGATCTAGTGAATTTAAATGTGGTTTCATGAGGGGGCTGTTGACTTCTGTTGACTGTGATGCATTACATTATTTTAAAAATTATTCAGTATTGAATTATTTCACAAAACTTACCTAGGCAATAATTTCTAAAGTTAATAAGATTAGGAAACTTATTTTTAAAAGTATAAATACTGTTTAATTACAATTTATTTCTGTGATGTCTGCTTTTTCCATCAGGGGGTGCTGCAGTACCCCCGCACCCCTACTTCCCACAGCACTGGGTAGATTGCTGAGCTGTGGATGGTTGTAAGTCAAAGGTCACAGTGTCCTCACAAATCCTTTAACATGATATCTCAAGTCTGACTTGCAAATTTTGACCAGTTGTCACTTGGGTTCAAAGACGAATTGATAACACTTTAGTTATCAAAGGTCACATGTGACCTCATGTGAGTCTGGAACAAATGTATTAAACTGAAACTGCATTGGTTGGAGGAGGTGTACAAATGCAGGGTGCCAATTCTAGTTATCTATATGAGCTGTAACGTTTTGTATTCAATGTGTTATATCCTGGATGCATTTCTGTGGTGAGTGACCTTCTGTGACAGACTGGTCAGGGTTTGCTTTGTCCATATCAGCGCTCCATTCATGCCTGTAAAGAGTTAGAGGGGAAGGCTTTACCACTGTGAACAGTCTCCTCTTTGTTTGTGGGGGAAAACTAGGCCACATCTAAAGAGAAGAGGGGAGACGAAACAATTAGGAGGAAATGCATCACAGACAGACAAATAGTATAGAGAGACAGGAAGACAAAAGATTAGTCAAATGTACAATCAGATTACTGCACTTACATAAAACCTAGAGGGTCAATGTACACATGCAATAAACCAGCGATAAGAGTGGAACAGAGTATTAAGCCATAAAATGACATAATACGCCAAAGTCCCTATGAAATTCACTGTATTTTATCTAATGAGTGTCTGTTGCATAAACGTGATAAACTTTTCACTCTCAAATTTCTATGCAGATTGTTTTCAGGACAAATTGTATAAAAGCTGGAGAAATCAGTTTGAACATGATGTCGTTTTTTCAATCGAATGAAAGCCATGTTTCCCAGGAGCACTTCGGCAGTTCAGCGGGAACTGTATGAGGGGACACAGCAATGAAACAATGAGATGAAAGCCCCTCACCCAGACTGGTTTGAACTGGTCCAGGTCTGCTCGCTCTGCTGTCTGAACCCCGGCTTTTTGTTTTTTCTCAGGCTCATGCCGTTTTGCAAAATAAACTCGCTCTCTTGGAGGGATCACATGAGGATTTACTGTGAGGCTCCCTCTCTTTGAGTGTGTCTGTGTGTCTACTCAGCCCCGACTCAGTCTTACCAAACTCTACTGCTAAAATATACATGTTCTAATTGCAATCTAACTTGACATTACGTGACTTAAGGAAAAAGTTTGAATATAGTTAAAAAACGGGTCCGATTTCACGTGTAAACTACACTTCTATAACACAATGGGTTATCATATGATAATAATAGTTTTTGCTGTCATTCTTTTATTAGTATTAATTACTAATAGTGCTCTACAGTTTCGCTAAGATTTATATGACACAGCAATCAGAATTAGAGTAAACATCAA